TCCTTCTCTCTCACAGATGCTGTGATATTTCTGGATTGGGAGGAGGGGATCTATTGGACCCTCACAGCGAAATAACTGTCTCGAGGCCCTCAGGCACAATGGGAACTTTATCCTTCACAACAGAGAGTGATTTTCTCTCCCTTGTTTAGTTTATGCTTCAGTTTGACTGCGATTACATGAAATTATGTTTATGTTATGCTACTACTTTACTGACCTTTATCTTTTGTATTGGTAAAGAAACCTCTCAATAGCTTACTTTCTTATTCTTTACACAAAACGTTTGTCCATATTGGATATATTTTTCCTCTCTCTATCTTTGCCTTTCTTTCCTCCTCCCCAAAGGAAAAAAACAAATCTATCTGAAGAATTTTTATCAATCAAGTTTATCATAATAATTTAGATAAACACGTTTTCCAAGTTAAACAAACACTGCAACTCAACAACAATGCGAGCTGTGCATGCTCAGTTCTGTACTAGCAGGCATTTGACAAAGATGAAGTAGGGACAGAGTACACAAGCAATAGAAATCATTTTATGACCCTCTTCATCAATTTGCTCATGTTTTTAATTCCTTTATTGCTTGGTCTATTAGGAAAAGAGTCTAAAGATGCAGGTATCTTTCTTTCAGAGTATTGTTCAGAGAAGAAATGCTGTTGATTCTCTTGCTGTTCCCTGACTTTTATTCTTCACGGTAGCTTACAGTTAAGTGTATCACTAACCTCGAACAATATTTCCCAGTTCCTCTGGTGCAAGGAATAAATCATTCCCTTCCTTTAATAATCATCCTGGACTACCAGCTTTTGTTGCCAGTTTAACTATACCTTTTGCGATTGAAATGAGACAAGAATCCACAGAGCATTTTCAGTGAGCAACCCTCTGAACATGCTAAATACTTCACTTCTGTTCTTAACAGATACAGAGCTGTGGAGAACATACGCACTTGTGTGAGACGCACCTCTTCACATATACCAAAGTAAGTGAAGTAAGTACATATGCTTACTATTCATCAGGCAAAGAAAGGTCACCTTTTTTTTCTCTTTTCCATTTTTCTCAGAATAGAGCAGGGATTAAAGAGAAAAATGAAAGATTTGTTCATGTTGTTTAAATAAGTTTTTATCTTGCCTTGATATTAATACAGTTTTAAGGTTATCATGAAAGAAATCCAAATTAAAGGGCTTTTCTGTTTGCTATTTGTTATATATTTTTTCTATAGTTATGATAAGAGTTAGCAATCTCCTTCAGTATCCACAGATTCAAATGATAAAGGCCAGGGATTAAGCACAGCCGATTAACAGTCTGCGTCCTCTTCAATCTAGCATTTCCACTGCAGATAAAACCATATTCAGACTGAAGTTATAATAAACAGACTGTCCGCAGTATCATTTCCCTAGATGACCTCCTCTAAACTGTCATTCAAGTATTCTTGCAGAATGATAATTTTACAACGAATACTTCATATGTTTCATTTTGTGATAATTTCTTATATTCATAGATTTGGCATAAAAACAGAAGCAATTTGTTAAATTTTATTTTTTTTAATGCTTGCACTAATGAGCATCTTTAAAATAATACCTTATGATTTCTACTTAGAATGACAAAACAAATATAGAGCACTGGATTATAATGTCAGCAGTTCTTTTTGCCTCAAAGACAGAGGAAAACATACATAGAAATTCTGTTACTCTAAGGGAATTGTTAGTACAAACCATTTATCCAGTGAACAACAGAACAAAACAAACAAAAACTATGAAGACAAGCTTACAGGAACATTCTGTTAGGTATCTATCTGCTTTAATATATGATAAATAGTATTTTAACTTAAAGTTAAAAAAATCAAAAAATAAAAACAAAGATAGTAAATTATGTAAGAACATTTAACATTCTAAATTCTAAAAGGCTTTTTAGCCTCTACTGTCAAAAATTTGAATCCAGAATCTCATGGGTTAAAAACAAAGCAAAACAAAAATAGAGGCTATGGTTAAAGCAGATCTAAAATGTGTAACAGGACTTTTTTTAAAAAAATCTAGATTTTCCAACCATTTTAAGGAGCAATGGAACTGTGTGTCATTTGATTTCAGTGCACTTCTTTAATCTGAAGCAGTAATAATTCAAACTGTTTTATTACCAAGTAATCTTATCTACCCAGTTAATGGGCATAGGTTCTACTCTTACATCCGTTAGTTTATACTGGCAGAATTCCAGTGAAGCAATTCTGAAATCAGATGAATGCATGTGTGTATGTATTCTTCAATTCTTCATTCAAAATATATGATCAAAAATTTGTTCCTTTTGATTAAACTACACAAGTGATAACAGATAGATCATGCTATACAGTGCCAAATAGAAAAAAAAGAAATCTGAGCTGAGTTTTGATTAATTGTTCCCTAGAACTGGTTTGAAAAAACCCACTGCATATGACCATAGCTGATTCATTATAGTTGTTCTGCAATTCTTTTCACTGGAGGTTTTTAAAAAAGGCAATATAGAATGATTCAGATTAAGTCTCGTAATCAGAACATTAATTAGGTTTGGATGATTACGTCTACCTTTTCATATACACACGAAACCGTTTTAGAGCCCTTTTAAGGAAATCTTTACTGGACAAAGAACTGAAAATGTGATTTTAACTCCAAGTCACTCACTTTGAGACCTTACTTCAAAAACCAATTTCATGGTCTGTCTCCATAACAACATAGCTTATTTCTGCCAACTAAGACCCATATAATGAAGCATAATGTGTTTAATCAGATTGTATGGACTACAATTTAAGGCAATTTATGTTTAGTTTGATTTGGAGACACACTAGCTGATCCGTTTTGTAGGTCAGTCTGTTTAATCATCATTATGAGTAAAAGGTTTTATATTTTCTCGCCCCAGAAGTATACTGAGTTATATTTAATACTGAGCTATATTGAGGTTATATTAATCATAGGTTATATATAGTACACAATTAAAAACTTAATGTATTCTATATATCTGTTTTTAAATTTTCCATTCTCCATTACAGCCTGTTAAAAATGCTTGCCTCAGGATCAGTCTTGTCTTCACACATCTTGCTGTGTCATCACTGACACCAGACTCTATTTGTCACAATTCAGCTCTATACCTGTGTATACACAGGTTTATGTTTTGAAGGGGGTTTATAAAAGAAAATGGATTCCCTATACATTCTACTTTGCATTAGAAATTAAGGTATTAATACCATATTAAGGTTGGCATGTAAAAACTGAGAAGAGGAGAAAATACATTGTTTTCAGAGACATAGACATAAAAGTCTACAATGAAACCTGGCAGTCCTTTTTGTTCGTTAAGTTAAAAGCAAATAAAAGCAAACACAATTAGATGCAAGATGAGTAATTTTGTAGATTGTTACTCACTGGACACACAGCATTTTATTACCTATGTGATATTAAATAATCTTTTTCCCAATCATTTATATATATTTCTCAATATCTGATTTCCTATCTTCTTTAATGGATCAATTTTCCTGCTACTGGACAGAAGAAATTTATGAGTTTGCTTAAAAAAGGCATTAATGAGCAGAGCTGGGATACTTTGAGTGTGAACAAATAAGACCTAAATCCGAAATGCGTTTTAGAACAAACTTGCCCTACTGACTAATTAAAACCTGCAAGTCAAACTGTAATTGGAAACAAATATGGGAAAGAATTACTCAAGTTAATGTCCTAGGAATGAGATGCACTGCAATGAGACTGGAGAAGAGAAAGAACTAGCAGAAGTTTACTCCTTCATATACATATTCACACATATACACACTCGCACACAGACACACACACACCTCTTTTCTTTCAAAATACTTTAAAATAGCTTGGCAGTATTTATATTTGCAGAGCTCACAAAACTTAGCCCTGTATTTTTAGTTTTAGGGTTCCTGCTTTAGCTGAGGAGAGCAGGAAAAGAAGGTGATATGTTTATTGCTGGTAAACAGCCTGGAAATTCTGAATTTAAAAAAGGCAATAAAGGCAGAAGGATTATAATAATAATCAAAGTACAAAAATTTGCATATTTAGAGTATGGTTGCTGAGAAATAGCACTGCCACATTTATGCAAATTAAGCCCTCTGCTAAAATGAACGGATTTGCATATCTGGGAGAAATCTCTCGTGTTGTGCGTTGGTAACTACATTCTAAGTGGCTGAAACAATTGGCTTTTAGCAGAATATTAAATATAATTGCCATTAGAATTTCTTATTTCCTTGTGATATAGAACAAACTTTAATCATTTGGTGCCTGATGAATACAGGTCTTGTTTTCAAGAGGAAGAAATATCACTCAGAACCTCAAAACATTTAATGTGATATAAAATGAAAATCTTTAGGATTAAGGAAGATCACGAAAACATTCAAAGAACTGCATCGTACCAACTGTATTCGCCCTTTTTGTCTAAAGAGAGTGGTTTAAAATAGTACTGAGAGAAGACTGTAGAAAGGAGATGAAAGTTTAAGTCCAGTTTTTTATTTAACATTTCTGCATAATCTAATCATGTTCCCTTCACTTCATATTTAATTAATGAAGAGTAAAACACTGAAGTGAAAAACTTGATTGGTAATCCTGGAAAAAAAAAAGCAGACTGAATTCCATAACCATTTTCTGTTATCTATTAAAATCAAACAAAGTTAAATGTAGGTTCAAAGGTATTAAAATAATACCAAAAATATAAATTTAAAGAAATTTTACTTTAGAATGAGTATGTTGGAGTATTTGAACCATTCATACGTGGGAAAATAAAATGTTACTGAAAATAAATTTTAGTCTGGTGATACACAGGCACGTGAGAGAGAAACCATCCAAGCATGTTCAATTCGTATTACATAGAGGGACTGTAAAGCAAAATGATTCACTTTCACAGATGAAAATTCCCAAACATGGAATTGTTCCTCCCAAACATGGAGGAAACTGGCCAAGCTGCTATAAAAACCCACCTACCCAACCTTTGTAAAATCGATGAGTAATCTGGAGTATGGCTGTTAACTTACTTACCATCCTCTGTGGGCACATAGATATTCAGATATAGGCAGTCTTCATTTTGGTCTTGAACGTAGGTCACCACAGTATCCAAATTGGCTGTAAACCAGACTGGCAGCATATCATTGAGCAGGGACCTCTCATCCAGGTACTGAGGGCAAACGGCAGCAAACTGTGTGGCGTTACGGACACCGGTCCAAGAAGATGGTGGCTCCGGGGGCTGAAATCGCCTTTCTCCAGTTGGAGGGGAGGCATAAGGAACACCCAGATACTGCTCCACTGGACCCAGGATTTCGTTGGGCAAAGGTGTTCTTAAACCACGTATTTTGCCATAATTTGTGGTAACAACTGGATATTGTGCTTGGCCATCAATGAGAGTAAATCTTATAGCCAGTGCCGTTATCCACAGGAGGAAGTTAGAATTCAACATGACACAGACTGGGGTGAAGATCAAAGGCAGCCATAGAAGTCCCATTGGTTTCGACATTATTTAAATCAACATCAGAAGGGCTCTTTTTTCCACAGCCAGGAGAAAATTAATCAGTCAAGGAACAAAAAAAAATAAAAGGAGATGAAGCGAGGGAAAATATAACCTTGTTCAGGCAGGGAAAAAACCAAAAGTTGATGAGTAGCAGGTGCCTCAGTTGATTGACTGTAGACAAATTCCAGTGTCAGAAGAAACAAGGGAGTGTTTGCCCCTGAGGCCCATCCCAGATTTCAGTGTTGGCTTAATCCTGACAACACACAAAACTTCCCAAGAAATAGAGAAGAGAGAGATGCACAGTTACTCCACTTTCCTAGCACAACAGCTCCTTCCAGTGAATTATAGCCCACGCAGTCAGCCTGTGGCCAAGAGAAAAGAGACAACTAAAATCAACAGATGCATTCATATTGGCATAAATCTAAAGGCATATTTTAAATTTATACGTTAGTTCCACTCCAAGGCCTTTAAATGTTTTATGAACTTTAACCACCATGGTGATCCTCAAAGTAAGTAAGTTAGGACAGCTGAAAATTAAAGCCACAAACTTGTTCCAGGTTATACCACAAATCAAACATTCTGCCCCCTATTTACTTCCAAACCAAACCACAGCCCAAGTCTTACTGCCTTCCAGAAGGATGCCCCACATTTAAAGGCTACCTCCAGGGTATATTTTCTGCCTTAAGCAAACAGCATCTCTGTACCAAGCATATTTGCACTCATAAAACAAACAGTCATTCAAAGTTTTGTTTCCTTGGATAATGTACTACATTAGTTGAAAATATGAGAACAGAATTATACAAAATCAGGCACAAAGTTAATGGTTTTCCTGTCTGTGTTACTTGTCCTATATTTGAGGGGAAAAAAAAAACACTGGAAAATGAAAAAAAAAAAAAAAAAAGACTGTGGTACAATCTCTGAGAAATCAGATCATGACCTATATATTGTAACAATGTAGCACTACCTTAATACTTATATGCCCTTACCTTTCATTTTTTTTACATATGGCAATTTATACCATAATTCTATTAATCTTTAATCACATATAGATCATTTGTATACATATGTTAAGTCTTACAAATAGTAACCATGCAATATTTGATTTCTTTCCTTGGCCAGATAAATTGAGAGATTCTTTTTTACTCATTTTCCCACTTACAATCCCAGATAACAATTTTACAGCTGAAAAATCCTTGCTATAGAAAGCCGATGTCGATACCGCTTTCCAACCTTTGGTTGGATGATCACATAATTTATATATAAAACACATATACACAGATTACTAGGTCCTGTTTTCAGTCAGGGCTCTCATGAGGTTATTTATATAGCAACCAAGTGCAGAAAAAAAGAGAAGGCAAGGAAGACATTCCAAAGAAAAATACTTCATTCTTTCAATACCTCTGGAATTCTTCCCTGACTTCATTTTAGCACTTGCACCACAACGTTTTTGAAATACCTGAATCTGAACAGTCATTCTGGATACATATCTAGAAGTTCGTGGATCTCTCAGTCAAAACTCCTGTTAGCTTTTCTACTGAGTGCCTGTCCTCAGAGGCTGTGTCACATAAGCACCCATCCTCAAGAACGAGCCAGTAACAGCCATAAGAACCAAGGCTCATATGAACCCCAAGCAGACTCATATGGGGCCTTCACTCATACTTTTGCCCATGAGCTCAGTGGGTCCATAGGTCTATCACTGTTCAGGCTATGCTATGGGGAAACCCACGTCCAGGCCAATGCCCAGGGCCCTGCTCTACCCTGGTATGCTGACAGGACTCCTGGATTGATCTTGGGCTCAATTCACCCAGTTGGATAATGACAAAGTTGGGGAAGGATCTTGCCCCTAGCCCTAACCCATTCCTCCTCAGGTGCGCTTGTGAGAGAGGGCACGGCTTTGCCGTGCTGTAGGCACTGAGGTCGTGGTCCTCATCCTCCTCAGTGGGTCAGTACACTAATAGTGGTCAGCTGAAACCTGTCACCAAAACCAACTCCCGAAACACCCAACTCCAGTACAACAACCAGAAACAAGCACTGTTTTCTGCTACTGTTTGTAAGAATCAGTGGGCAGTTGAGTTTGGGGATTCGTTCCTCATTCTCTCTCCATCCTGACCTTAGAAGTATTCTGGCCAAGTACCACAAACTGACCAACAAGAGCTTTATTCTGTGCTCAGGAAGCAGCAATAAGTCCTACTCCCCTGAGACCCATGCTGCAGGAATCAATAGCACCACTGGAAGAAAAAGAAATGTGGAATAAACTAATGAGAAAATTCTCCAGGTGGAAGGAAAGACAGGTATGGAACAATTGTTTGAAAGTGGGAACTGAGAGAAAAACTAGGGCCAAACATAAGTTTTGTCATTACGAAAGCTTGCTTGGGGTGATACACAGTTGCCACTTCCACAATGGTTGGTTCCCAGGGACTCTGCTCCTCCACGGTTCCCTAGGCAACAAAATCTGCCCTCCTCGCAGCTGCAAAGATGATGAATGGAGGATGGAGGGGATTGGAGACACCGCGGTCAAGCTCTGTTGCACTCCCTGTGCTGGGCTGCTGATAAGCCGCACAGTGGCTGTCTAATGGGAGATATATGATAACATGTCTGGTGCTGAGCCAGCAAGGGTGGCAAATCACTCCTTTTGGATGAACTTTGCTTGAACTTTGCTCATTATAAGCTCATTATAAAGTGAAAACACACCTCCATCCCAAAAGCTAGCTGCCTCTGAGGAATGACCACTCCTCACTGAGCATGAGCTCTATATTTTTGATTGACTGTGCCTTTAAATGAAAGCGAGAAACTTTTTAACCAATCAATAACAATATTAATATGACTCCAGTCACTCAAGCTCCACCTGAATGTAAAGAAAAGTATAAAAAGTGAACTCAGGAGGAAAACTGGGGGGGAAGAATCCATCATAACTCTTGAGTCAGTCAACGGGCTGATCCCCCTTCCCTCCCCTCAGACTGGAACGCCGCCTGAGGAGATTAAGAAGTGAGAGGGAAGATTCCATGGTAAATTCTGGATCAGTCGATGCACTGATCCCCCTGTCCCCACCTTGGGTTGGGATGCCGCCTGAGGAGACTTGAAACTGAGAGCCCTCTCCCATCTTCTGGGATGAGTGATGATTGCACATTTGTGCATCAGAGCTAGCAGCTAACAATCCCACACAGTAGTAGAGAATTTCCTGTACTGACATCCGAAACCCACTTTGTAAAAGTTGCATTTGAATAAATAAAGCTGTTTGTGAACTTG